AATAAACGCCGTACTTAGCATTCTCCTAAGAGATCTAAATTTCTCACTAGAAGAGAAACTACCCGACGTTTTTAGCAACTTCAACGCTTCATAGACAAGAGATCTAGGTTTTCAATTAGTAACAAAAGACTCATTTGCATGAAACAATAAGCCCTACTTGGATTTTTTTTATTACGAGTTTAGGAGTTCATCTACACCACTGAATTATTCTCTAATCCAATCTTTACAATCCAAAATTCTACGTAAAATCTTGAACGCTCCTCATTTTTACAGAACTAAAATAATCCCTTAAAATATCCCTGAAAATATTATTTATTGAATAGTTATTTACATGTCATAATAACGTGTAATTTAATTGATTCTTAAAGATTAATAGAATCTGGTGTTTATAAACCAAGTTAAATAAATATTAATTATTTTAGTCCCTTAAGAAAGAACATAGGTAAAGTTTGTAAAAAATAATCTTTAAAATCGATAGGATCCATTCAGTGCTATATGTGGAACGACCAAGTCGGCACCTGGAGTGGAGTGGGGGTATCCAAGAGTAGGGAAGAAAGGAGCCCCGCCATATTGGAGAAGGTTAAGGTCTGTTGTGGGGAGAATATCTAGTGTGTGTACAAGATATAGAAAGAAGTGGGCGGGGTGGCCGAATGGGCTAACGCGTGTGCACTGCACTGCCGTTGCCCGGCAACTTGATACATAACACTTTGATAAAAATTCACGAGTTCGCGTCCCGGTGCCCGGAGGAGTTTTTAAATCCCCGCCCACACTCTCTGGCCCGGGAAACACTCCGTATAGCCTTAGAGGCGAGGAAGGGAAAGACAAAAAAAAAAAAAAAAGATATAGAAAGAAGATTGTGCATAATTTCTACCCTCTCAATGTTTATGCTTATTTTAAGTAATAATCAATAAGATAGTGTAACAGATCAGCACAATGTTAAGTTATTTGTAAGGATAAAGTGTAGGATATAGTGTTATATATATTTTTGAAGTTTTTTCATATTCACTCCTCTTGCATCATTAATTCTACCTCCTACCCCTCTCTATAAACATGATAGCATTAGGAAAGGAAAATTAATTTTAAGTAACATTTACTAATTAATATTTTGTTTAATTTCAATCAAAGACTTATATGAATGGAGAATGTAACATCAGATTAAAATCAACATTAACTGGATATGGCAATATACTACTAATACATACAATAAAGATATCTGCCAGTGTCTCGTGTTAACACAAACATATATTTATTTAGCTTATATTCCATGAGCAATATTTAAAAATCTTTTTTTTTCTCTATATTTCCATCCACACCTGTCATAAACTTGACAATAAGCAGATGTGCTGAAACTGATAAGAAAATTGGCATTTTAGGCATGAGGGAAAAATAGTACCCAGCAGCACCTCTTCCTGGTCTTGATTTACTTCCTTAATTTAGGAAAGGAGATCTCTCGTCCAGCTCATCTTTATCATCTCCTGATAGGCATGTCAGCTGTGGCCATGTCGCTATTCCGTTGTGATGTCCGTGTAGTTTAAGATGAAATCGCGAGTAGAGATCACGTATGTGTTGGTCGATAGTTGGCTGTCGTAAGTCGTTATGTAAAGTTTTGTTGTTTACGTAACAGGGAGCTCCTGTTATAAGTCGTAAAATTTTGGATTGAAATGTATGTAGCTATTGTAAGTGCATCTTTTTTTCAGAACTGAGTTTGAGAAGGTAAGTGTATGTATTTAGTTTTTGTCTGATTTTCAATTTTGATTTAGAAAAAAGTAAGTATAGTATTTTCAGTCGCTAGTTCAAAGTTTGTCTGTTCATTAGGGCATGTGGACCCCATGTCTTTCTTCTGTCGAATATTAACCCGAGTAACGTACAGTGTCTGAGACATATGGTTGTCTCCGATATAAACTGGTGGAGATGTTGCTCGTCGAAGTGTAAATGTTATATGTTGTGATTTGTTATGATTTAATCTAATTTTCCAAAGTGAATACCAATTTTGTAAATGATTTTGTAAATTCAGTGAGGCTAGTCTGGGGCCGTGGTAATTTGTTAAAATTGTAAAAAAAATTTAATTTTTACTTAAGACCTTTTGCACTAACAATAGCGATATTTCATTACAAGGGTAAGTTAAAAGATAAATGAAAATGTAAATAGGGGCCACAAGTCGACGAAATGAGACATGTGTTCAATGACAGTACTACAATTAACGTAAGGTTGTGTGGATGCGAATCCTATGCCTTGCGTTATCTCGAAAACAGTACGTTGTTTCCAGAGGAACTATCCGGGTCTTGCTCTACGCATCAAAATCTTTAAGGTCCAATTTATCCCATATCGATATACAGGCCTACCACCGTTCTAAAAGAAGCCTAGCAAAATGTTTTTATCGACTTTATTTATTTTAGAAAGAAAAACAAAAGTGGAGAATACGATTCGCTATCCCCCGTGAAATTATGAAACCAACGGTACCCCATTCATGGTATATGAACATGACAGGAGCTTATATTTGGTACAAAACCAATTTCGAGCCTTACTGTAATAATTTATGTGGGGATGGGGATTTTAAGACTTGACTTATACCACTGTAATCTATACAATTAAATATTAAATTATAATTCTAACGATAGCATTTAGTTTAGTTAGATCATAATGTTGTCGGAGTCTGTATTATATTAAGCTCATGTTACGAATGGAGACTTCTAATCTTTGAGGTGTGCTCGGACGTTCTCTTATTCGTTTGGTTCCTCCATTACAACTATTCTCCGTTACGATCTCTTAATTCTCCTTTAGTTAATTATTAAATTATTTTTTGTTTTATATTTAACTATTTTTTATATCAGATATCAATGTGAAATGGTTAATTGTTTCAAGCCAAAAAAAAAAAAAAAAAAAATAGAGGTACTTTAGGAGAAGCTCACATTGAAAAATAGCCATTTAAATCCTGTTATAAAACATCAATAAAAATAAAACCTTTAACGAAAAAGTTGCTATAACATTCCAGGCATGTAAAGAATATTAAATATGCAATTTCACTTTCGTAAAACTTTTCGTTTTTGAGCTAGACTGTTAACACACACACACACACACACACACACACACACACACACACACACACACACACATACTTGTGGGACTTGGTTAATTGGACTCAGGAGACCTCAAAACGTGTATTTCCGTTGAAAACTGAGATTCGAAAAATTTCACGATTGCAATACTTTACTATATAATTTTATATGTAGGTATGCAAAACATAAATGACATAAACATTACTTTTCAATATAATCCCCTCCTAATTCTATGCACTTAGTCCATCTTCCAACCAACATTTGAATTTCTTCCTGGAAAAAGGATTCCGGCATGGTGCTCAGAAAATTTTGCACCTGTTTTGTGGCAATACTGATCGATGCCTTCAAACAACGCTGATTAATCTCATCAAGTAGAAATTCAGTCCATTAGTTTTATTAGATACTGTAAAAACTTACTGTTTTAATTTAACCTCTCTACTCTGTTTTACATAACTCTTTAGTGACAAGTGGTATTTTATAATTTTTATTAGCACGTTAAAGCTCTACCTAAAATAAACAAGATCCCCACACGCCATGTGCATTCTTTATGTGTTATGGTCGTCAATCAAGTCTTTATTGGAATATCTCTCTTCACTGCCCTTTAAGTTAGGAAAGACCACTCCAATTTCTGTGACTTACACTCACTGATAAGGGGAATTCAATCATTTTCTAAAGATAACAATAACAATTATTGCCAAGCAACTAAAATAATAAAAGGCTTAGCGTACCTGAAGGTTCGATGCAGACACCACCAATCGCTTATTACACACGTCCCTCCACCATTCGCCATCCAAACGCAGGCACTTCAGATCGGCTTTAACGCAACCTTCCCACCTTTGGTACAGCAAATATTAACCTTTTAAGAATTATTTCGGTACTAAGTTCAACAATTTTACAAGCCTATTTGATACGCCGCGATTTGATCACCTCAATTATATTAACCGGATACAGTATACGCAATTCGGCGTTGTGTAACCGTCTAAACTCTCCGGTTAACTCATCCTTCTTCGGTCTAAATATTCTACGCAATACACAAAACTATTAAATTATTATATTAGTTTTAGTTAAAAATCCAAGTTAACATAGCCATTAAGAAATTTGGGAACATTAATATAGAATTTTTAGATTTAATATAAACATTACAAATTTAACATAAAAACAACTTGTGTTTTGGAATCATAGAATTAATTTAGAATCAATCAATCAATCGGAATCATAGAATTAATTAAGAAGCATAGTGATATACTTGTTACATGGGACTTGCTTTGACATGTCTTAAAGACCAAAGTTTTTCCAAAGTAATTATCGTTATTTTTATGAAAAAATGGGTTCGGGCCCCCCCCAAAATTAAATCCTGGATCCGCTAGTGCTACAGTCTATAGCAACGCAGGTTTTTCGGCCGCCATTTTGAAAGTAAAAGGCGGCTAGTAATGTCGATGAAGGAGGATCATCCTCGGATGAGCTGTTATTTTATAATGTGCTGACAGCGGACAGACAAAAAAATTTTATTCGTTTTTCGAATTCTACGTATCCTGAAACGTGAAACCTCAAATTTTGAGAGGGGTTAAAGTTTTTGAATTTTTCGGTCGATCACAATGGTTCATTATTGAAAATAATAAACCAAAAGGGATCAAGTTTGTAAATTACCATCAAATTTTTTATTCAATTTTAATAATCAATAATAACTGTTAAAATATTGAAATAAAAATAATTTGTAAGATTCCGAATTGATAATCGGATTATTAACAACGATTAACAATAATTACGGTGCAATGAATTTTGTCTGTATTATATTTTTTTATCATGCATATTTTTTCTATACATATATTATTATTATTATACGTATTTTATCCGTATACATCAGAGAGAAGAATTTCAAGTTTGTTTGACTTTTTTTAACTGTGTAATTTTTTAATTCTTGTTTTATTATCAGCGGTAATATTTTATATATCTACGAATTGAAAAAAAGATAAATTAACCTATGCAAACCTAAAGAACAACTGTAAGTCAAGGCAGTTCTTTCGAATATAAATCAGATTGTCAATACTAGGCTTATTCGGCATTCATCGAGAATGTTGAAATAATGTGTTCTAGGTGATCTTGAAAACGCCGTATCCGTATAGCCGGTCAAAATTGACGCTAATAATGGGGATTCACCCGTAACGTATAATCAGAGAAAGATCTTATTAGTTTGAAACAGGTTATATACAACTACATGTGATCTCTTATCACCATATGTGCAAGGTAGGTAGGTCGCTTCAAGGTCGAGTTAAAGATTGATAGTGATAAATGTGCTATAAGGTTGATAATGATATGCTCCAATGATAACGATTTAGTGTTTAGATGGCAAGCAGCGACTGGAATATCGGAGAATGGAGGGGAGGTACCCGTATCTGGCCAGTTCCACTTTATCCAGCGGTGGTTACGTGATGCACATCTTCCTCTTCTTGGCGTTCGCTCTGGCCGATGCATCTGCGGAGTGCCTGAACGGACGAGTCATCAGTGAGTTGGTCTTACATTTCTACATTATACAAACTTTCAGCATGCTAAAATTGCATAATTCCCCCTAAACAATGGGGTGTTTCCAAGATTGATAGAATCCAAAGCAATAAGTAAATCAATTAGAAAATATAATTTCAATTAAATAAAACAAACTACAAAATACTGATACGAACATACGATTTGAAGCTAAATATGGCTCTGCTAAAACTTTTACAATCAAAATGATTTATTTGTTTCAGTCAAAAGTATGCCGAAAAAATGGAATATGCGTCGTTCTAAGACCCAAAAATAATTACTACACAAAGCATCCTTAAATCACAAATACTAAACAGAAAATTTAAACTTTCTACTCAAAACAAATTACTTATCTACAAGACAATCCTGAAACCTATATGGACATACGGACTTGAACTGTGAGTGACAGCAAAATTTTTTAACATCAAACGTATTCAATCCTTTCAATCTAAAGTCCTTCGAACAATGGATGATGCTCCGTTTTATGTAACTAACAAAACCCTACCCTATGACCTTAATATCCTATTTGTCCTAGACCTTATCCCAGAAAAATCCTCCCAATTTCACCAGAACCTATCATCCAAATCCCCTTGCATAATCTCTAACCAGCACCACCCATCCTTACAATCCTCCTCGAAGGTTGAAGCGGCAGTGGCCCAGAGACCTGTGAATAAGCATATATTGCAGTTTTGGCAATGGCCAGATCCTCCATTCAAGACAAGTATGTGTGATTATAGTGTTTCTCCTCAGCCTCTACTGGTTCTTGATACCAGTAATGCGGCTCAGTGCGAGGCTCTGGGATCTCCTAGAGTCCTGCCTTTCCTTCCACGAGTGGGGTGAAAGGCTTGGCTCGGAGTTCTTCTGAGTGAATGGATTCTGTAAATATTGTATAGTATGCATGTGTTTTAGTTGTTATTTTGGTTAGTTTAGTTCTTTTGTTTATATCCTTTTTTATTATTATTATTAGTTTCTGTATTATTTATTTTTATTTATTGTAAATAGAGTGTGAGTGTGCTCTCTGAACATTATTATAAATGTCCTTGATTGACACAGAATGTTATATTTCAAAACAAACAATTAAAAAAAAATCACAAATAACGTCAAGGTTCCTTGAAAGGTCTTGAAGTAATCTTTGGCAAACTTACCGTCAATGATGTAGATAAAATGTTTATATAAAGATTATATGGATTAAAGGTGTGTGGATCTGCCAAAACCACAAATTCACTACTTTTACTTTAAAAAGTTCCATTAGTTTTAAGTTCTGTTCCATGATGGAGTACAAGTAGGGTAAGATCTCATGATATCACAAATGGAATTCCGATAATGACCGACTGTCTCAAAAAGTAAAAGAAGCTGACTGAAATGAGTAAAGCCCCGACTTCAACTGGAAAGGACTCGTTGAGGATTTGTTTATCGTTTTGGAGCGAGCGTAGCGAGCAGATGTCGAAAGGTGCAAAGCCAATTAAGGCCACCAATTGGGAATTTTCGGAAGTCGTAAATTTAGATCTAAGTAAAGAGAGGTTATACCAGGGCAGGTCATCAGTATTCGACCATTCTCGGAATTTCATTTACAGAGTGATCATCATGATGTAGTGACCACTCATCAAAGTGGAGCAATACTTGTAAAACAGTACCCCCAAATGACTTAAAAAACAAAAGCTGCGTTATGAATTTCGTCTTTTTTCACTTAGGTTACACTAATGTACGGTATCATATCTATCCCAATGAATGTATAAATGGAATGGGCAAAATTGCAACCCAAAAAAAAAGAACTAATGTGTGTGCTTTAAACCACACGATGTCACTTTCCCCAGAACCTTAGTCATCATCCAAATCCTCTAGCTCAATCCCTATCCAGCTCCCTTCATCCCTAAAATCCTCCTCGAAGGTTAAAACGGCAGTGGCCCAGAGATCTCTTGTAAATATGCTTCTGGAGTCCTGGCAATGGCCAGCTTCTCCACTCATGTCCTGAGTGTCTGTGGCTCTAGTGTCCTCTTTCAGTCTCCACTGGCTTCTAATACTAGTGATGCGGCTGGAAAAGTAGCACTGGGATCTCCTGGAGTCTTGCTTTGCCTTCTACATGTAGGGTAAAAACCCTGGCTCGGAGATTCCTGGGCGAACATTGTATATAGGTGTGATTGTGTTTAGAAGTTTTTATTTTATTTGTTTACTTTTTTTTTCTTTGTATTTACTTTCTTCACCAGTATTATTTATTTACTTTTTATATTTATATTTATTTCTCTATTATTTGTATATATTGTATGAATCAGAACTTTTAGCCCTAATAATTGTATAATTATACCTAATACTTCAATAAATAGATTATTAAAAAAAAAAAGACCACACGATAGAAGTGAAAACTCCAAGACGAGATTAATAATATGAAATATAAATTATAAATAATAGCCCATTACAGAGAGGATGAAATGCTGAACAATTCCATCGCTTACAGTACGGAGTTCCGATTTTTAGTTTCTCATATATTTTAATCCAAATGCTCAATAAAACGCGTTATAATTTCGCTTTTGACACTATTTTTTTTTTTGCTTTTCGTCTCTCTAACACGGCGTCGCATTGATTCAATTTCGAATAATAGATGATTACAAGGGGGTTGAAATGTTGAATATTTCCCTCGATAACAATATACAGGTCTGATTTTTGGTTTTTGAGATATTTTAATCCATGTGCAAAAACACTTCCATTAGTCAACTCCAGCCGACATTACCCGAGCGTTACATATCGGAAATCTGATGTTTCAATCTAATTCACTCTCCACAAACAATTTCAAAACACAGCTACAGAAGTTTTAATTAAAAAAAAAAACTAGTATAGGAAATATGTTGGAGAATTTCCAATCATTAATGCGCCATTCTTAAAGTCAAAAGTTTACAAAACATTGGCGCTAATTAAGGACTGAAAAAGAAACTAGTTTAAAATATAAAATAAGCTTAGACGTCGTAATAACGTACTATTCAAAAAATAATCAAAGTACATATTTCCTTGTACCTCAAACTCTATGACCTCATATAGCTGTAACCATGACCTTGCACCCATCATCAACCCAACTACCGAGTGGTTGAACAGATATTGCCAACTAACAAATCGAAAGGAATATCCACGAACCATTGTAAACTGCCTCAAACCGTTATTAAATGCCATAAACCTAGTTAAACTGAGTTCTAATTATGATTTTTTTCTAGAAGGTTATACATTTTAATATCTATAAATTTTAAAAATGGATCTAAAATAACACAATATAAACATGGAACATGCATATCTAATAAATTTGTTGAAATGATGCTGTAATTCTTAGCGTTTTTTTACGGAAATAAAACACTTCTATTTACTCTTTACTTAAATTAGAAACTCCTACCAAGTCCTTCCTATTGATTGTTAGACTTCCAGATCAGCCACGAATTGATACGAATTCAACTTCATTAAGATCTATATCGCTTCTAGGGTAACCACAGTTCCTTTTATCGACAAGACAAAGAAAGAAGTAATACTTTGAGGATTTAGGATAATGACCGGGAGGGGAGGATAACCCAACTTATTCATTAGCCTCGAAATATATTTCTTCATATGATCTCCGTAGTAATGCAATCTGCTTTGTGACTGAGAGAGTTCGAAGACCGGAAATTTTAATAAACCTAAGATTATGAGTTCAAATTCCTGAGACGAGAAGACGTTTAACTCTGGCATGATTTACTACTTAAGCATAAATTACTCTCCCCCCTCTCCAGCAGCGTATGAATCTGGAGCTGTGCAATGTTTTTAGACGAAACTGATGTGAAAGCAATGAAGAGGATGCGCTTAAGACTTGAAGGACATATTGTCAGGATGGTAGATGGAGCTATGCCTAAAATATTTCGTACACAGCCTATTCATGAAATAAGAAGAAGAGAGAAACCATAGTTGAGGTCGTCAGATGGTGGAGATGGTCGCAACATCCTCTGAGGATTAGGAACTGGATGGCGTCGGTACAAGACCTTGATGATTAGAGGAAACGGTTGGGGGGAGGGTAAGACCTGTAACCAGGTTGTAGCGCCGTGAAATCATAAAAATTCACAGGAAAATCTTGAATAATTCTAAGTGTCAATTGACGGAATGATGTATTTCCTACGTTGAAAGCTGCTTCATTTTTAACTGCCGATAACTAGGAATGAAATTTGATAAAGAGTTTTTAATGAATTTTTCTATTGTTTCTACTTGAAGTTCGCAATGTGCTTGACAATTTTTTATAAACCGAGAGTAATTTACTAGAGTTCTTTGGACCTTATTTCGAAATGTTTTTATCATGGGTGATAAGTAGTCAGGATGTAGTCATTATAAAATTTTCTAATTTTTGCCAACGTTTAACTCAAACATGTGGGTCATCTTCAGGGCTGAAAATTTTAAAATATAATCAGAGATATAATATTATACGACCGATAATGATAAATAATAAACCATAGTGATTGATGGTATATGAATCTTAACTATTATTACAATACACAATATTGAAAATTAAATATGATAAAAAGTAATACAAACTAAAAATAATATACATAATCCATTTATAAAAATTTGTAATATTTTCTCTTACTAACGGTGGATTGAGCACTGAAGGCTTTCAAGTAGTGACATATTTGGTAGGAAAGTGAAAAGGTCGGGGGAAGGATTTCCCAGTTTTCCTGTTTCAGACATCATAAGGTAGATAAACATTGTCAGAGGGGGGAGGGAGGTAACATTTCTTTTCGTATAATGTACATAATTTGCTGACTAAATATTTTAGATGCGTAAAAGATTCCCGTTGTTTCTTATTGTTACAAAATTGTGAATATTGGCTAGTAATGAAATGAGCATAAGTAAGAGGTGCCAATCAATATAAATATAACATAGTTTGATTAAATGTATACAATGGTTAGCCAAATAATATTTATAATAAAGATAATTGTAATGGATTGAAAACATACGTAGAACAATATATTATAGAGTATTTTAAA